AATTCCTTTAAATTAACTGAGTAAAAACAACTAAATGTAAGATTTGACAAACAAAAGATGAATCTAGTCTTGACTAAAGCTGTGGAGCCTAGGAAAGGCAGAGCAGAGCATCCAAGACCACCCATTTGTCAGAATTCCTTAAAGCCTCCAGGGAGAAGAAGAGTTAATAAAACACACAAAGCATGTGTCAAAAGCATATTTTATGTTGTTATAGATAAATGTGTCCACCAAAGGAAAAGTTTGAGCAACAGTTTATGTAGATTATACAATAAAGACAGTAAAAAAATACTTTAGAGTTGGAGTGTTGAGGGTGTGTTATATATAGACCATCACATTGGTGTTATTAGCTTTTCTCTTGTCTTTTTTTACAATAAGCTTAGGTAGCCAAGCTCCAGCTCAATTCTTTTGTTTCAAGTCTCAGTGCTCTCGAGAGTGCTGTTAGGGCATGAAAAACCATGAAAGTTTCTCTCTAATTTTGAAAACTGCTGTGTCAGCTTTCATAGGCAGAGCCTATGGGCAGTTTTTTGCTCAAATATGAAATGTTATTGGACTTTGGATGCTCAGGATCTTTCTTCAAAAGGCCTTTCCTCATTTCAGATGTCGCTGCCCAAAAGAAGGAAATCCTAGGTGTGGCATTGGAACTTTAATTTTTTTTTCAGCAAACTGCATTGAAATGAATTCTCAGAATTACTAAATTTTTTATTTCTAAGTACAAATACATAAAATTATTACCAAAATAACTACTGTGACCTAGCAGTAGTGGTTAATCGAAAAAAATGTAGTTTGTGACTTCTTGAACACTTTTGAAAGTAAATAAGTACTTGTTTTTCATAACAAAATGAGTGGTTTGGTGCAGGCTGATGACTCAGGACAAAATAATGGATTTTGGAATTACTCATTGTGCTGTGCTGCCAGTGTAAATCTGGCTAGGATGTGTAACGACTGAAAGCTCTTGCAAAATAAGTGTCTGATCAATATTTTACTTAAAATATATACTGTCTGAGGAGATAAAGCCAAGGCACAGATCTTACTGTCATGAGCATCCACACTGGCAGTCTCGGAAAAAGTCAGCTTTCTGAATGTTATGAAAAGCAAGGATACGTCTCCAGGTCAAGACTGCAAGACAGATTATTATTGAAAGCTTGAAGGCCTCTTGCATTTCCATTTGGAGCAGCTGGAGGGGAAATGAACTTTTAAGATGGAACTTGATCAGTTCATGCAAAGGATTGTATGATATGACTCCATGTGACAGAACTGAAGCAGACAGAGTGACACAGCAAATAGCTCTGCTGTTATCAACCTGAGTGCAATTCCTGTTTTGTGGATGAAAAAATAAAAACCACAAAATTTTCAGGATTGTTGAGATAGGACCTTTTTGTAAGCTGAACTTCACAGTTATTTTTGCAGCAGTGATTCCTTTATTATTAGGGGAGAGAATGTGAAAAGGTAAATAATATTCATTCAGTTCAGTCAGTCAAACCCAAACTTCCATGCAAGCTTTTATGCAGACTGCTAAGGGCACTTTACTATCAAATAGTATAAAAGCCAAAAAGAAGTTTAAATGCCAAGTCAAACAAGTACATCTTGCCAAAGACTCAGAATCCTATGAATAAGGAGTAAGGAGTTCAGCAAATTTGAAACATAATGCTTTAAATAAGTCTTAGTCTCCAAATATACCTGCCAGTGTGTAGAGAAGATAATTAATTGTCAGAGCAGTATTGAGAGGTGCATGCCAGAATGTGAAGAATACAAGGGCTCTGGACTATCACTGCCCAGAGTAAATCTATCTATTGTGGTTTTGGGGTTTTTCCTAGATGCAGGGGCAATTGCAGTGGCTAAGTTCAATGGAGCAGGCACTGGCAGACTGCTGGTTACTTGCAGTTCTTTTCTTCTGAAATCTGAAAAAAAATCTTTGAAATGCTAGGAATTAAAGATTGGATGGAAGCACAGAATGCAGCCCATTTTTAAGAATGTTTGACTACGTTGTTCAGAGATGCTCAAGAGAAGCAGAAAGACAAATCTCGCTGTTCTGGTTTTATGAGTTTCATCTGGCTGAAGCTCCGAGTGTAGTTAAGCAGGTCAGCCTGAGTCATTCAGCTGACTTTACAAAGTATTGCTTTAATGCCACAGTATGGAACAACTGCATGCCCCAGAGACCTGGATTTCCAGTTGCCATTGAAGCCAAGAGTTTTTGAAATGTTTACAAGAAACGATAGATTAAAACCACTTACAAAAATGAATGCTACAAGGGGAAATTCAGCATAGAGAAAATATTTTTTTAATGTATACTGAAATTGACACTACAAATAAAAATAAGGACTACCTAACAAGACCATGGCACACACAGTGGAGCTACTGCTATGGCAGAAAGCTTGATGCTTTTCAGAAGCAGAATGTTTTGAAATACCTCCTGTTCAAGAAGGGGCAACGCTTTTTTAGGCTGAAGACCATTTTTAGAATTTTTTCTTCCTTTTTTTTTTATTTTAATAAAGGATAATAGAAGTTCTGTAAATGCAAAATTTCTTTTGAAAAGAAGCAACCTAAAATGGAGACAACATATGTCGTTTGAATTTCCAAACCAAACAGTTCAGAGATCCTCCCCAGAAGAAATATAGTGTCTCAAGGGCAGTGTATATTTTGATTGCTTCATCTTCTGAAAGTTGCAGTTAAGCTAAGGTATATGATAAACTGAGAGAGAGAAAAGTTTAACAATGTACCCACAGAAGTCAATAAAAGTTTTCCTCTGCACAAGAAGCAGATCCAGTGCGTATTCCATTCATGAATTGAACAAATGAGTCCTAAAATCTTATGCTGGCTGCTTAGGAGATCAAGCACAGAGAGGAATATAGTCACATAAGCTGTTTCTCTGTGTAAAAAGGCTGTGGGTTACAGGATTAATTTTTTACAGTATATCTCTATACCCTGGATAACGAAGTAAGCCTTAACTTGTGGAATCTTAATAGCCTTCTCATTGCTGAAGTCTAAAGGAAACCCAGAGGAAACTTAATAATATTAAAAGTTATTTTAAAGGGAGTTCACATTGGTTTGAAGGATATTTTGCTTTGCACACAATATCCACCATTGTAAATTCAGGGAACCTAAATTTAAATTCAGAAAAGCTTCACACACCTTTACAGTTCTCAATATATATTTCTAATAGTATTCTCCATATGTCCAGCAGTAAAGCATTAATATTTTACAGATAAAATTAAAATTCTGAAAGTCACTGGAATGAAAAGCAAAGAAAAATAGTAAAAATATTCCCTCTAGAAATGAAGGGAAATGTGGAACTTTGTGGTGAGAAGCTAGCTTGTCCATGTTGTTATGAATAGAGAATAGCATGTACAGTTTTTCATATCTGACTTGCAACAGAAGATTGGAACATATAGAAATTAATGTTACTGAATTATTTAATAGTAACTCAAACACATGAAAAAAAGAATTAAAGAAACACAAGACTAAAAAAGCATTTAAAATGAAATCAGAAGCTTCAACAAATATATTTTTCCATTGCAGTCAAAAAAGCAATTATCAAAATTGTTCAGAATATGCTGCCAATTACTCTGCTCCATAACTGCTAACTTTCTCAGTTCTTCTCTTGCCTTTGCTGGGCTCTCTGTCACTGGAAACATCTTAAACCAATTTAAAGTGCTACACCTGAATAAACATGTTGTAAAAGTGTTTATGTATTGAAGTGGGTCAGTTCAAGGTATGGTATTTGGCTGGAACTTCTAATTTCTCTTTTTACTGCAAAAGGGCTGCCAGAAGGAGGAAGTCTGAGCTGAATTAATACATTTGTTACAGTGGAAGTAGAATGGAAACTACTTTAACCACAAATCAAACTGCCTCTTTCATTTACGCCAGTGATAGAGTTTTTTTAAGAAATATAGACTCTGGCATGCAGCCACTGTGAGTTTGTGTTTGAAAAGGAAACCTATATGCTTATTTCTATAATGTTTACTCCTATGTTTTCAAGTTCTTTTTCAGGGTGGTTGAGTTAGCAGCACTATACATTTGTGAGGCAGATGCGCCTTTGTTGCCCACGTCCCGAATTTTCCAGCGGGTTTAGCGGAGTGCGGCGGCGCCCCGGTGCCGCCCGGTGCCCGTGCCCGGAGCCTCCCTGGCTGCACAGGACCTCTGTGTCCCCACCCTGCACAGCTGCACAGCTTCACACGACACTGTCTCATTTTCTGACGGGTGAAGGGCTCTGCACAGTACACGTACGCACAAAAGTGTTTATGCTGCCAAAATAAATTCTGTTAAGAGTGAGGGTTTATTTGCTAAAATGTCACTGATGCAGTTTCAGTGACTTGTTTTGCTTTCCTTTCTTTCAGTGAGGTTTAGACCGCATAATATAGTGAGGTTACCACACAGTCCTGACTGAACAAATATTTTAAAGAAATATGCACATCCCCTGGGAACAGAACCAGAGTCAATAATACACATATTTCAAACTCTCTTCTCTTGAACAACTGAATGGCTTCCTACCTTTACTGGTGAATGAACATCAGTTTGAGTAATGCACAATATTTATTTTTAAAGCAGAATTATATTTATTATTTACACTCCTATTTGCTACTGGTTTGCTTGGGGGATATAAAGTTCCACATCCTACTGAAATGATACAAAATTAGAAGACCTCATTACATTATCCTTTCTACAGGAAATAGAGTTTAATGGGCCTCATTTATTTTTCAGTTCTATAGATGTATATGAGACTGAATTAAAACACCTCTGTAATGAATAAGATATATAGCACACAGAGACTGCAATTTTATGAAATAAAAATTGTATCTGTAAAGCTGTTGAAACTTCTGCAAATTGCTTAGCTTTTTTGTCTTTTTAAGTTCTGTTAAACAAAATGTGGATATACTCCTAATCATATAAATTCAGGATTTCAGCAAATTCCTTGCTATGATTCAGTCAGCAGGTGAACTCCTGCTAGGGCTTTGGGAGGGGCAGGAGTTCACTTTTTAACTTCTAATTTCCCTTGCTTTTAGGTCGAAGTATCAATGTTAAATCTGCTGGCCTGGTTGGAAGACATGGGCCTCAGTCAAAGCAACCATTCATGGTTGCATTCTTCAAGGCAAGTGAAGTGCTTTTCCGTTCTGTCCGAGCAGCCAACAACAAGAGGAAAAATCAGAACCGCAACAAATCCAGTAGTCAGCAGGAGTCCTCTAGGATGCCAGGCGCTGGGGGTAAGATGGAGCTATGATTTGCAGTCTTTTTATAGGAGGTGTGGGCACCTGCTCAAATGCATTGTAGTCACAACAGCTCAAAAAGGTGCTGCTTATTGGCTGAACTGCCAGAAACAGTGTTCCCACTCCTCTTTCGTTGTGTTGTCCCTGGGTGTGATCTGCCTTCTGTAAGTCAGATCAATTACACGTATCATGGGCCTCAGGAGGGTGAAATGACCAAGCAGTTTAAGAAAGTCAGTGTCTGAGATTGAAACTAAGCCTAAACAGTATGCAACTGGATGATGTCTTTGCTATGCATAAGTAAAAAATAGAGGAAAAGGATTGCACCCCTACTACTCATCTAGCAAGCCTCAGCAAAACTGCCTCTCAGCTGAAGAAGGCAAGGTGTAACATAAAAATCTCAATACTGGAAATGAGGAATCTTAACCAATCTGCAAAATTGTAAACTGCTTAGGAGTTCAGACCAGCTGACAAGTAATGATATAAAGATTAAATATATCCCTCTGTGGAGTGAATTTTGTCCCTTACCTGAAAGAGTAAAATTATGAACATAAAAATGTTCATAATTGCTTTAGAGACTGGAATAAATTTTGCTCCAGTTTTTCCTGAAACGATCCTTTCAGCTGAAGGCACAAAGTCACTTTCTAAATATATTCACTTCTGAAAAAACATTTCTACTTTTTGGGAAAAGGGTGTGAAAGTGTTTCTTTCTAGAAGCATGGCAGATTTAATAACAACATATCAAAGCCTTAAGATAAGGGCTGTTCTTAAATCCCATGGTAGTCTAAAAGTAAGCAAATCAATATTTTGTGGAAGGAATTTAGCCTTGGGGTGGGGTTCACCTATTTGAGGAGAAGTGTTATAAGCAATATGCATTACGTATATCTGTCTCAGAACCTTGACACAGGCAGGCTAAGACTATTCTAATGCAATGAAAATGCCTTTCCCAGATGTTTTGCAGAAGGAAAATTTTACCATAACAACCAAAAATTACTGCTAAGTTACTAAAGAAATCAACGAAATTATTAAAATAATTTTTCATATTCTCTGGAAAGTCTGCTGATTTTGAGAATCACATGATTTTGGGTGAAGGGATAATCACCTAAGTACATGGTACATACAAGATACCTAAATATAAATATCACACTTTCAGATTGAATCCTATGTATCTAGTGCATGAAAAAGTGAGAATTGAACAGATTTCTTAAGCCTCGTTGATTATAGCAGGAAAGCCAAAGCTCCTTGCTGCTTCAACCTGGGAAAAACACAACCTTATCACATTGTATTGACATAAGAATTACCTCAGGGAGAGCTGCCTGTAAGTCTCAAAATACTTTTCAACCTTGCCTCTGCTTCCAGTTGTGCTCCAGACCAGTTGTAAAAATAAGAAAATCAGAACATCTCTAGTGAAATGGGCATTATGAAACAAATTTTCTCCTAATCTTCTTAAGGTCTACATAAGCATAGAGTACACTACTACATATGTTGATCCATGGCAGATCTCTTTCAGAAGAGATTGCAGGTCAAGAAAACCATACTGTTAAGAGAAGATCAGGTTAAGAAGCAATTGCACTTGCAATTGCATCAAAATCAGAGGCATTGCCTGGAAAGGGAGGCATTAAGATATAGGCAGGCTGGAAAAGATGGCAAAGCTGAAGGTAGATAAGTGACCACAGCTTCACATAGCAACATCTGTGGCAAAACTGCTTGAAGGTGTAGTTCCTGCACTGTGGCAAACCACATTCCATGCTCTTGTCTTGCAGTTTGCCTCAACAATCCCCATGTCACAAATAAACAAACTTGTTTGGGTGTCATTAATGATTGCTCACTGCACTTTTCCCACCATGGGTGATCCAGAATTCTTTTAATAACTACTGCAACAATACTCTTGAAATATTGTGGATGAGAATGCTGAAGGCTACAAAGGCAATGTAGGGATTCCGTCCAGATGCCACCAGCATACACAAAAGACATAGAGAAGAGAACATGTTCTTATTTCTCTGATCTCTGACTCTTTTCAGAATATAGTGTCTCTATATGGAGAGCCTGCTATCAGAGAAAAGCTATGCCCCTTTTCTTTTTTCCAGCCCCAAGATCTGGGGGACATACTGCATCCCTTTAGGTTTGTGGTGAAGGCTAATTGTCTCTGTTCTCTACAGCTTCAGTAATGAGCAGAACTTCAAAAGTAAAATTCACATTTCATATTTAAACACAAAAGTTTTTGGGAAAAAACCAAAGAATTTTGCCCATCATGTTTCTCATGGAAGATAGTCAATAGTCTATATTCAATCCCCTTGACACAGTGACTGGCAAAGATAATTATGTGATGTAGGTCTTTTGTTTCTAAGCCTCTTCCATGACCTTGTATCTACAGCAAGTAAGACAGACACTGACAGTGGAAAATGCTCACTTACATAGCCAGAGGTGATGTAGCCAGGCCCAGATAGGTATGTTGTCATTCATATATGACAGACTTCCAATATTTCTCCTTCTATACATCAGTCTCAACTTTATCACAATCGTGTCTTCGCTTCCTCCTTGCTTCTTTCTTTGTTGTTTTCTCTTCCTTTTTTCTCCTCTTATTTTTTCTTTTTTCTTTTCTTCCTTTTCCCCTTGCTCTTGCCTTTTTTGCCTCTTCCATTTTGTATTTTGCCACCCTCTTTTTCCCTTTTTAAATTCTTGGATTTCATCAATTAGCTTTACTGTGTTCTCAGCTTGTCAAAAAGGAAAGCTCCACCAGACAACCCAGCTCTTCCCTTCCAAAGGACAGGACATTTTTAAAATTATTCGTGAAGTTTCATGAAATCATAGAATGGTTTAAGTTGGAAGAGACCTGGTCTAGTGGAAATGAGGGGACTCCCTGCCCCTGGTCGGGGAGTTGGAAGTAGGTGATCTTTAAGGTCACTTCCAACTAACATTCTGTGATTCTCTCATATACACAATCTCAATATAAGAGAATTAAATCTTATGTATCTATTATTATAACACCTGGGAAATTGTTGACAGACTTGGGGTCACCACCTTTATGTTGCTAAGAACTTCAAGAGGAGATGATATCAATGCAGTGTAAAGACAGACAGAATTAGGCTTAGCATTCAGGCTCTACCTGCCTGCTATGCACAGAGAATGAAACTCTTTTTTATTTATCTAGTTTTATTTTTGTTGAACTATAGATAGAAGAAATAAAAATTAAAATCCCCAAACCAAAACAAGACCAGGCAGGTTGTTTACAAAGTAAGTCACGTAACTCTCCCCTAAAAAAAATCTGGCTAAATTTTAACATTTTTAGCATTGTCTGAAAAGAGTTACAGTGTAACTGGGCACTAGAGAATAGCCACATTTAAATACTGAATAGTTACTTACACCAGGAAACTAAAGCTCCATAATTTTTGTTCATATGGAGATAAAATCAGAAAACAATACTTAAGCCTACATTTTGTGTATGCTATTGATTGGTGTTACACAAACTGATTCAAAATATAGTATTTTGCAATAGTATGTATAAGCATGTTTTTATGTCTTTATTTCCCCTGAAAAAAAAACTCAATAAATTTCTTATACATATATTTTATTGACCTCCTTCCACAGCTTTTTCTGATATGTAGGGGTTTAGATTCCACTGAGGAACAATGTTTTCTGAATTACAATCGCCTATGGTTTTGATTCTTGACAGAATAAGCATATGGGCTTTGAAGCTACAGTGTGTGAAATTGAATCCTTAGCACCAGATCTTATTATAAATGTCACATTTGATACTTACATAAAGTGTTATATTACACACAACATTTGTCCTCCATGAAAGGTAGAATTTAGGGAAGGATTCAGACTTTCCTGTCTCACTTTCTTCGTAGGTGAATGGGTTAGATGGCTTACAGTCTGTACATGCTGGCCATTTTATCAGGTGTTCTGGTGTGACCACACATAATCTGAACCTATATTCAGATGGCTCAGAGTATCACAACCATGATGACATCTGTGCAATGACTTACATAAGTATTATTCAGATTTTCCCCTTTAACTGGAGGATGTTCTGCTACATCTTGGCCCTAAAACTTCCGTACATGTTCTTGAACATGAAGCTGCCACTGCAGGGAAAGCTGGCAAAACCACAATGTTCAGCTTTCGTTTGTTTGCCTGCTTGTGTGCTATTAAAAAACATATTGTGGCTTTCCTGACTTTCTCATGTGCATACTTTCCACATTTTTCAGTCACAGTTCTTTTGCAAAGTGGCTTTTATTCTATACGTATGACTTATAAACTCTCTCTAATAGCTGAGGCAGAAAAGCTCAATATTCATCTCTATGGGCACTGATGTTAATGAAAATGAATATATAGATCTGTGTGAAGAATGATCAGTGAACACAGGTCCAATTTTTTTAAGTTCCTTTACTTTTAACTACCTTCACTTCTAGAGTGTGTGCAAAACCCATTGGATTGTTGCATACAACTCAGCATAAGGTATGACCCAGGGATTTTGGTTGCATAAAGGCATATGGATTTTTGAAAAATTGTGATGTCTTAGGGCATCCTGCCTTGCTTCCTGTTGCTTCTCCAGAAAGACATAGATATCCCATGGGATGTGTGTGTATATTTTGACCCTGCATGCCCTGGGACAACTGAAAGTATCTGAGATGGCAGCACATAACCAGCTGTATGTGAAGATCCTTTAATGGCAGTCATTGAAGGCCTAGGAAAATACCATAGGAAAGAATACAGTGTTTGTCTTTAAAAACCATGAGGATTTGAGGAATCATAGCTTAGAAAGCCTAGCTTAACATCCCTGATGCTTATCTAGTATTGCAAATGCACATATTTGTGACTTGTGGCCAGCTTTTGACACAGTTTTGGGAGTCATATTGGGCCCATGTGTATTCAATAGAAAGTAGGTACACAGTCTGTTTAAAAAATAAAGAAAAATCCTATTCAAAGAGCATGTTACCAATAAAAGAAAAAATTGTCTGTGTATTTTAAATGATATCTTATTGAGTTTCTTCTGGGTCTGGTGCAGTCCAACCTTTTATCGGTAATTTGGATGCTGGAGCACTTCTCTTAGATATCATGTCCTCTGTGAACTTCCAGAGAACACATTCTGCTCTATTGTCCAAGCTACTGAAAAGGATGCTACTACCAGCACTGATCCTTTAGGGACCTCCCTAGTAACCAGCTGCCAGGTGACTCTGTGCCACTGACCCTGACTCTTCAGGCCCAGCAGCCTAGGCAAGTTTCCATCCATTATATTCTTACCTATCAAAGTACTCTAACCTATCAAAGTTTTTTATTGGTTTGACCAATTTGACTCAAGGAATATGATGGGAGACCATATCCAAAACCTTCCTAAAAGCAAAGGGATCAACACCCAGAGCTGTTCAAAAGCCCACAAAGCTAATCAGATCATCACAGAAAACAGTCAGGTCGGTTAGGCACAGTTTGAACTAGTAAATTCATGCTTACTCTTCCCAAAACACCTTCTTTGTTCTTTGTGTGCCTGGACAGTTTCCATGAGAATTTGTTCCAAAGACTTCCCAGAAACTGCGGTTAAGCTGATTGGCCTTCTTGAAGATGGGTGCGACATTTTCCATTTTGAATCATCGGGAATGTCTTTTGGTGTATGAATGCTCAAAAAAGGCAGGAAGTGACTTTGCAGTATTGGTCAGCTCATTCCCCACCCTGAAATTCATCCCTTCTGCTCACATGGACTCATATATCTTCAAGCTGTTTAACTAACTCCTAACTCTGTCTCTTTTACTGTGGCTAGACCTTCTGGTGCTAGGGCCAGAGCCTTGGGAGTCCTGGGGGTAAATCTTGCTGGTAAAAAACAAGACAAAGAAATCACTGGCTACATTAACCTCTTCTGAGTCCGTGTCACTAGGCCCTTTGCGCTACTGAACAACAAAGCTGTATTTTTCTTATGTTTTCCCAGGCAACATGTTTATATTATTTCTGTGTGGTTCATCCCAATTACACATTACTTTTGCTTCCTATTTGAATTTGAATTCAGTCAGGATTTTCCTAGACAACCACAGTGGATTTGTGCCACATTTGCTTGACTTGCAACAGGTTGTAATGCTGTTGTGGATATCATCCCTCAGAACCTTTACTCTACCATGGTTGCTGCAGCCCCATCACGCTGCAGTTCTCATCAACATCCTCATCCTCAACCTGTTCTTTATTCATTGATTTGTAAAACTACAACAGGGTCCTAAGGCTGACAAGGCAAGAATACATTAAAAAAAGTTTGGTGGCTGATTACTTGACAGTGTGGTTTTACTGCAAAACAAAAAAAAAAATCATATTCTGGGTAATACTACTAGAAAACAAGCTGGAATAACTATTTTACTTTATTTTATACTGTTTTTGTTGTGGCCGTCACATCTTTGGAAAGACACAGAGAAACTGAAGAGAACCCAGAGAAGCAATGGTAACAGAAGTCAGGATGGCTGACAAGAAGTACTTGACAAATTTGCGAAAAACTCCTCTAGGCCATATATTTGGAAGGGTTTACTGCAAGAATGGTGAAGAACTACACAGATTAGTTAACAGACTGTGGAAGTTCCTTTCATTTTATGTGAAAAAGGAGGTTGTGTCTGAATGTTAATTATCCTGAAATTTTTCAAAGACCTTCCAATTTCAGTCTCAAGCATTATAATGTTAAAAAAGAAATGTGCCTTAGAAAATTCTTTTCCTGAAACTAAAAGTTTTGTTTTATTTTCCCATGTCTTCATTTTCAGGGTTTTGTGGACTTTTTTATTTGCTTTTTCTTGTTCTTTTTTGTGAGCTATTTTTTTTTCCCAGAATTATTATTTTGGTTCAAAAAAGTCACCTTAAGCATTCTTGAATTGGAAAGAGAGAAGACAGTCTGTACTCCATGCCCTGTCACATGCCTCACTTATGGCACCACATGAATAGCTGTATAAACCAACTTTGGGGGCTAATGTGATCAAGGCATGACCCTATTCCCTTCCTTTCCTGTTACTTAGGAGCAGTAAGGAACAAGCACTAGAATTTCTCCAGGAGTAAGGTTCTCATGGAGAAGCATGTATGGAAGGTTCTGGGTGTCCTTCTATCCTGACACATCTCTGACAGAGAGCTTTCAGTCCTTTAAAAAGCACCTGTTAGTCTACTTGTTTACGTTAGTATTAGCAACTAAAGATCATCAAGTGGTAAATATTTCCAGAATATATGGTAAAAATTAAGAAGTGTATTATGTGCCACTGTGTGTTTAACTAAGAGACTTTTGGAAATTCTCTTGTTTCTGGACATTTTTTATTGTTGGTAATTAATCTTTTGAATTGAGCTACTTTCTTTACCTGGCAATTAAAACTGTGCCAACCTAGAGATGATTTCCCCTATATTTTGGATCAGGGTCTCACTTGTCCTCTTTGATCACCTGTGTGGATATTATCAGAGGTGTTACTCAGCTGGCCAGCAAGTAGACACCTTGTAAACCTGTTTCCCCTAATACTGTATGCAATATTTTGCCAATGTACAGAAATTGTATCAGTCTGACTGTGCTGATTCCGTATTTCCAGGTTTACATTGCCTTTACAACTAACCCTAGGAGTATAAATGACAGTATGGTTTTCCTTTCCTTTGTACAGCTTGGTAGGGATCTCAAAAATAGCTAAAGCTTGTCAGTTCTAGCAATGCTTCCAAATAATTTATGAATGTTATTTACTTCCTGCAGATTATAACACAAGCGAGCAAAAGCAAGCATGTAAGAAACACGAACTTTATGTGAGTTTCCGAGACTTAGGATGGCAGGTAAGATTATAAATGCTCTTTCCTAACAGTTCAAACTGGGACAATCTATTTTAAGTCCCCCATTATTTACACTCTGTTTTCTTTATGGAAATTGGTATTAAAATGATGAGAGACAGATTATTTAAATGCATTTTGTAACAAATCCTTATTAATATTGCTATCACTATACCTTTTTTAGCTCTGCTCTCAAACATATTGCATATATTAGTGACTTTATGATATGGATTCATTCACATAAAGATAAACTTAAACTACCGCTCAAGAGTTGAGTGAATCTGCACTAAATGAAACTAAAATCTCCTCATCAAGTAATGAAAGGTTTTCAATTTTCACTAGTTCAGATTTAAATCCCCTTGTTCAGTGCTGTCTGCAGCAAGTCATAGAGATTTCACTGGGGTAGGGTCCTTAGGGAAATAAATCTTGGATTTATGTCCCTAAGGAAAATAGGCTCAGTGATCTTTATGATACCATAGCTAATTTTATATAATTTCTGAGGAAAACTCATCCTGCCATACAGTAACAAAAAAATAATATACTTACAGTAAAAGGTCATGAAGTCAGAGGCAGGGCATTATGGGAAAAGAAAATAGAGATCAGTCCAGGGTTTTTTTCCAGAAAGCAAGGAACTCTCTATAAAGCAAGAACAAGAAGGCCTTCAGCAACCTCTAACTATTGCATATATAGGTAAGAACGCAGGGACGGTTGCCTGCGCATTTCAGATTTCTCTGAATTATTTTAAACATTCTCCAGGAGAAAAACAAGTCTATGAGGAGTATAAGTATGCTATCTCTTTAGTGACAGCTCAATCTTTATATATCTAGCTCAGACTCTCATATGGCCTCATCATCCTTTCTGATATTTTGTAGCATATTTATCCCCACAGCAGCCTGAAGAAGTAGGCAGAGGCTGTTTTTCCATGTCTGCAAAGCATAATTGGCCTGTGCTGGGCCACAGAGCAGGCTTGTGGTATTGAACTCAGGCCACTGAACAAGTGAGCCATTGTCTCTTGATTACAGGGGGTTTTTTCAGATATCAACAGGGTTTTTTTTGTTTGGGTTTGTTTTGTTTTGTTTTTAAACAGTAAATTCTGGCATGCTCCAAGATGTGCTGGGCTCAGATCAGTGGCCATAGTGGCCGCAGTAGTCAAAGAAAACAGAAAATCTATTTTTAACAAAAGGCTACTGTAAGAATTAAAAGTTTCAGCTGGAAAGCCAGACCTACACTGTACAATATTTGATCAGTGAAACATAGGGTGAATGAAATAAGATACAAAAAAAAAGAGATACAAATCCCAAGTAGCTACTTGATCCTCTCTGCCCTTCCTGCAGCACCTCCATTACCTGGCAGAGGCGGAATTCAGCAAACTAAACACACAGCTTTCATTAACATTTTAAAATATTTTCCCTCTTGTGGTCTTTTGCCCATGCTGTGTTGCTTGAAATACTGAAAATGTATGATTCATTGACATGCCAACAGGTAAATCCTGGCAACGCTGTCTCACACAGTAATACAGTTAACAGTGCTGACTATGCTGAAGGAAGAGAATGCATTTTAATTACTTTTGTTGCACCAAGAAGTGCTCAAGATTTTTAGTCTGGAATGAAAAGTATTCTGCAAATATATTTTAATCTTCAATCTCCCTTATAGCCTCATTATTTGGTATTCAGTACAGACTTTTAGGTTTCATTAATTTTCATCTCAATTTTCCATGAACAAAGCAAGTACTTTTTTTAAAAAAAAAACATTCATTTCACATGCCACCTTCTGAAGTTCATTTTGTCATTGAGCAAGTCTTAGTTTGATATAGTTATAAATTCCCTAAGTGAGAAAATATAATGAGTGGATTTATTTCTTGCTGTTTTAGGATTGGATTATTGCACCGGAGGGCTACGCTGCGTTTTACTGTGATGGAGAGTGTTCTTTTCCCCTCAATGCCCACATGAATGCAACAAACCATGCCATTGTTCAGACTCTGGTATGCCTCTGACTGTGTTATAGTTGCCTGTGCTGCAGTTGTTTGTGTCTCTGCTCAGAGTCTGACTCTTCTGTTTACCACTACTGAATTTTGGTTATTTCTTGGTAAATCATAACTCATTTCAAAACCTGCTTTAGTGATTTTGTTGGAGAGGATGAACTGCTCAGAGTGGCCTGTATGGTAGGTTTCACTTCCATTTCAAATGCAATAGCGCATGAGAAGACTGTGTTGTATTACTGGAGAATTGCGTAGACAGGAACCAAAGGGGCCCCCTGGTTTGACTTCCAAGAGTTTTTGCAACTTATTGAAGCTCAGTGTTAACATCTACATGTTATACCTTCCAGAAATGATGACACTTGGCCACTCTATGGACCTCTGTTGTCAACTGTTGGCACAGATTCTTACACTGTAATTTAATGTGAAGCTTTGCAAACAGATGCATTTGCATGTACGAAATTGTGTTCAGTCATGCCTGGCTTACAAATGCAATTTAAAAATAAGTGTGTTTGGATCTGTTGCTCTGCCTGGTACATGTAAAAGGGGATTTGCAGCCAGCTTTCTGCCTCTGCTAATTCTTATGTTAGTCCTGTGCCTCAGCTGGAGCGGCCAAAAAGATGATCTTAGTTGAGGCAGCTGGCTAGGCCCCCTCTAGCCCAGCAGTGTTCAGCTGCAGAAACCACAACCTTTAGGCTATGACTAAATGTCATTACAGTTGAGGCCAAAGTCTGGTCAGTCTGGTCAAAACCTGATTTTTCACCTGTGCCAGCTGAAGAGCTGGCTCTGAATAGTACTGGTATTAGCAGAATGATTAAGGAGAGGAATAAGAGAAATAGACAAGGAGGGAGTCTCAGCACGAAATGAGAACAGGAAAGGGTTGTCATGCCCAGTTAGTTTCTGGAACGTTCAAGACACTCAATTGAGATTAGATGGATTTCAGGTTCTGTTTGATTTAAACTAATAATGGTAAGGTATCCTGATTATCAGATTATGCTGATGACTCTGTCCAAGAATAATGATCTTTTTCTTTTATTTTCACATCAAAATCTGGGCCTGAAAAACCTTCCCCCTTGAGAAATTAGTGGAATTACTACCTGGGATACTGGTCCAAACACTCCCCTCAAATTTAAACCCCGCACCAAAAACCAAAAACCCAAAACCAAGCAAACAAACAAACAAACAAAAATAAAATTTGATTTCTTTCTGATAGGAAACAACTTCTGTTTGTGAAAATTGCCAAATATTTCTACATGAGAGGGACATTTTCAAAAACTCAGCATATACTTTTCCCTTCCCTTAAATTTTTCATTTACTCACCTTTTCCAAGCCCAGTCATCAATGCAACATTATTCCTCTATACTAGAATTCCAGTCAGCAAGATTTACAAAAAGAAGGGAAAATGTCAGAGGCTGAAAATAAGTAGAAGTGTGTTAAGGAGTTCAGGTGAAAGGGAACAGAAAATGCCAGTTGGCAAGGAATACAGCAATGTTCTTAGAAGACAATGAAGAACAGCATATCTGCAGTCCTGAGCAGAAAAGAAGTAGGTCAGCAAAGCAATAGTTTAGTATTACACAAGCATTGTCCAGAAAAGTTGCCAATATCACTGAGATCCCCAGGTTAGAGTTCCCTCCTGCAATTATGGACTGTTAAATAAGAGTTGGCTCACTGCTACTTTCTCTTGTGTGTTTTTCCTTTCCAAAAAATGGTTATTTTCCCATTGTTAGGAAATGTGTGTAGTTTGTCCTATTTTTTAAATTGGATACTTAATTTTTGCTCTTTTTATGGCCATTTTGGAATTGCGTGTCTCCCTTTGCATGTACTGTACATGCATTCAGTGCAGCCAAAAAATCATGAGGCCAATTAAATTTTAGCGGTACATAAATTAGATGAGATAACAGTAGTTTAATGCTTTCTGGTTTAAATTATACAAAATTCAGATTTACACAAGGTGTGCATATGGGGATGGCTTGGGAAGCAATTATTCATATGCTCCACCCTAATCCAAATGCAGTCAGCTCCTGGCCATAATGATTACACCATTCTGAAAAAGCCTGCTCTTTGGTGTGGGAAGTGATTGTTCCTTGGTACCCCTCCAAACTTAACTGATTCTTTTTTATTTTCTTCTGTAACAAGAATAGAAGAAATACAGGCCAGTACCTCACTCTCTCCCTCTCTTGTTTCTCTGCAATTAAAGTCAGGCAAACAGACAATACAGATGCATATAAATAAAAGACAGGGTGCATTTAATAAGCTCTATAAACTTTCTTCTCATCTCCTGCATCACCCTCAGAATAGGCACAGGGGTAGTGTTGGCTTCCTGGTCATGCAAGGCAGTGGATTATCAGGTTGGCTTGCACTGAATTAGGGGTAAACACTTGGAAAGGCTGTGAACATCACTTCCAAGGGGATATTGTGGGGCCACGGATCTTCCATCAGGGGTGGCAGGGGCTGGTGGGACCACGATTTACAGCTGGACAAACATCTGACCAGGTCAGGCACAATCATTTTTTTCTCCAGTGCTCCGCTATTAATTTGTTAAATATTTTTTAAATGTGTGTCTAAACTGTTACAAAACAGCTACTTCAGGATTTATTATTGCTCATTTCAAAAGGCCTTCTCATGGTAACTGTTATATAAAAATTGTTTCCTGATAGACTGTTCCATGTTGGCTGGCAAAGGCTCTGGGTTTATATCACTGCAAGACAGATGGCTCTAACAGATTTACAAAGACTTAACATACAAACAAAATCTATTACTGCTGAAGTCTTCATCCATGCCTTAATAATCTGTTGCCCTCCCTATTACAACTCCCTCTTCTCTGACTCCCAATGTTCCAAGTCTTCAGTGAGTGTAGAATATTATATCCATCCTTCTTTCAAGTACAAAGAACTTGAATTTCCGCCATTTTATTTTCACTAGATCTTGTTTGTTCTGGGACACTTTTCAAAACTCTTTTCTTTTGCTTTAATCTTTCATTGATATATTTCAGCCTGGTGAACATAAAGACTTCTCTGCCTCAGCCCCTGCCCCAACTATTCTGTCCAGCTGACACTCACCTTATGAACTGATTTTTATTTCAATGGAAGAAAAATTGAATCCATAGGTACCTAGATAAGACCTTAAAATGCACTTAGACCCCACATCTTACCATTTCACAGGCTGAAAACAGTTTCATTACGAGGCTTTGCCTGCACAGCCTTTGCTGTCTGCAATAGATTTTCCTCCACACTGAGCCCCCACCACAGGAAAGCATTTTAGCACATGCTGGGGTCCTGGTGAGACCTGGGGCTTGAGCCTTTGCTTCATGTTACGCCTCGCCCTCAGCAAAGATGGTACAGACAATATGTTTAAATGTCTTCCTGAGCAGCTGCCTAACTCCAATTCTCTAAATTTCATCTGAAAACCAACTTTTCTGTCTTGGCTGCTTCTCATTTATCTCTCCATCTGCTTTTATTGTATAACCCTGCCTGTGCAACTGAAATCAGAAAAATGTGCTGGAGGTAAGCTGTGCTTTAAACTTGCTAACCGAGGAAAATTTGTGACCACAGCCCTTGCTGAATTGCAAAGACATGTTTTGCACTGACATTGTCCTTGCACCTCTCTGTTTGATATAAGAGCTGTGTATTTATCTGTCTTTCAGGTTCACTTGATGTTCCCCGATCACGTACCCAAGCCATGCTGTGCACCAACAAAACTGAACGCAATCTCCGTGCTCTACTTTGATGACAGTTCCAATGTTATTTTAAAAAAATACAGGAATATGGTGGTGCGTTCATGTGGCTGCCACTAAAACAAAAAAAAAAATAATCTAAAGCAGAGGGTTTTATTCAAAATTGTAATAAAGTCAAGATATGAGCATTGCTGATGAAAAGGCAGGCCTAAATTTATTCCATTTCATGTCATCTCTCATTTAATTGTACAGTATAATGTACATAGTAGCTTTTATTTATTTAAAAATATATAGTTGCTTTTGTATGAGCAAAATTTCAGAACCATTTATTTAATGGGTCACCTCACTATGCAGCAGAAGTTCACAAATTAATTTTTCCATTGACCATACTGAAATTTGCTTTATCCCATTTCAATATTGTAAAGTAAAGCCTTTTTGTATGAAATTTTTTAAACAAGAAACTCCAGAAGTTCTGTAACTGCTTTGTATTGCTAGAAGAACTAAATGCATTTGGTCATATTTTGCCAATGAAAACTGTGGCAAGGTATTTATTTAGAAAAAGGCACAGGAAGAAAAAACTAAACAAAACTGCTCAGCTAAACATATTCTTTTTTCTTTTAGAACTTCTGCTCCATTAGAAAAAGTGAAATGTTGAACAGTGCTTGAGAAAATAAATAGGATATAAAAAATAGAAGTGAAAAAATTGCACATAATTGTTATAACTATTTTCTTTAACAAGACGAGTGTAACTGGAGGAGTATGTTACTTTTTGGCTTGTGACCTGCAGAGTTTGCAAAAGGCTCCAGGCTCCCGAAATTCTGTGTAGACAGACTCCTGCCTCTATCTATGACTTTCCAAGTTAACACTAAAAATTGAACTACAACATTCTTACCTCAAATCATATCAGTCTATTATCTATGACACTGCTCTGGCAGGTATTTTTATATTAGTGTAAAACAAGCCAAAATCAAATTAAAAAAAACCACACAAGCCCTCCCATTACATACACATGCTACTATATGCACGAAGTATACAGAACACAGGGTATGGAAGGGCTTTGCTTTATTTAGCTCCCACTTCTGGATGTGTTTTAAGAGTGTGCAAGGGAAGGCGCAGGGGGTGCAGCAGTTGTCACATGTTTAATCAAAAATCTTATCCCTGTTGTGTGGGATTTCTGGGCTGTTCAGATGGTCTGGGAAAAAGCCCAAAGATGGCCTTGGGCCCCCGGGTTCGAAAGGACGAGAGGAAGCTTCAGATTTGTTCTTGGTCTTGGTGTTTATTAGTTGCTTATCTAAAAGATTTTCTCTTGGCCTGACAGAGTTCTGCTCAGCAGTCAGCCATGGGCACACACTGAAAGCCCCTGGGGCGGTCACCTATCTTTATACCCGGAGTTACGTATACAATATTTATCATTTTTCTCCAATACCCTCTTCCCTTATTAACCAGTGTTCCCCTAGTAAGGTCCAATCCTGGAGTGCCAACATCACCACAGAAGATGGAGGCCCAGAGGAAGAAGAAGAAGGAGAAGGGCACGCCCCAATCCCTCCATCTTGCCTCTCTAGACCCCCCTGTACAGGGATCTTAAACCCTGTATCTCACACTCCAATTAACTTATCCCTTCACCATTCACCCCAGTGAAATCCTCCCGTCCTCATACTGATGTCATCTCCCATGTGGGATCAAAGTCCAGCCACCAGACATCTCTGGCAGCATTCCAGGACTCCCGAGCCCCCCAGGGGTGGTCTTGCTCACCCTGCACCCCAGTTCTGAGAGACTGAGATCCCACACTGTTGGTGGCTGTTTTCAGGTAAAGATAAAAAACACCTTTCCTAAGATGATGTTGTGTAACTTGCAGCCTATTTGCAGTCCCATCTGCTTTTCTATCAGGTGGGAATTGAGTTAAATAATGGGACCCAATAAGGGATACTTTTCCTTTTATGTAGCACTTGCAACTTTAATAGTTCTTAAATCCATACCAACAAGTTTTTATTCCCACTAAATTTTGGTCTCAAGTTAAATCCTTTGGCTTTGAATTACACAACCAATTACAAATTACCAATCCCAACACCACTACACACAGGTTTTTTTTTAATTGATTACACTTAATGTCTTTGGGCACCCCTTTGTTTTAGTGCTATGAAAGTGAGAAAATAGAAATGTTTTTCTCTCTATTACATGGCTAATTATCACATATGCTTTTATCATGAACTGCCTTCATTAAAAATGCTTCCTTTAAACCATTTTCAAAGAGCTGCTAAAAAATGGATAGGATTGATAAGTTTCTTCTTAGTCTAATCATGGAAACTCTGACTTCTCTGGTTATTTAAAACATATCTCAGAAAACTCAGATGATTACAGACTGATAAAATCAGCATGTGTGTGACTGTGTGTATGCATGTGAATAGGCAGCTGTTGTTTTTGCAGAAACTAATTTATTTTATCTTGCTATTGTAGTAATACATAAATCCTTTCTATGCATACACTCAATTAAAAAAAAAAAATTAGCAGTTCTGATTTCAGCCTTGGGAACTCTTTCCCCTTAATAGAACTGTTCATTTTACACTCCCATCTGTGTTTTACACTGACACTACCTACATATCTAGATTTAGTTGCAATTCATGCACAAGAATATATAGGAAAAAAGGTCTGCATCTGAATTACCATTTTAGAAAAGTTAAACTCCTCTGTCATATTCAAAAAATTACTTTTTTTTTGTATAAATTGGGTAGGTGGATATGCTTTTTTGAATTCAATTTATTCTAAATGGAATTTGATGGACACTAAATTTTGGGTACATTAAGTAATATATTTTTAATAATGGTGTACCATTTTGAGACTAAGAAGCTGAAGATTATTGTTATATTATTCTTTAAAATATGCTGTTGGAATATATTTCTATATTTTGAGACATAATAAACCTGTAATAATGTTTTCCTCTGCTGTGGCTTTGCTTCTTAGATACATGAAAAAATGACACTGACTTGATGTTTCCTTTTTAAAAGGAAAAGCAAGAGATCATCAATGGTTCTGGACATTTTGTGGTAGTTCATTTTTAGTAGGTTATGGAGGTTCATAGTAGGTTTAGTAGGTTCATTTGTAGTAGGTTATGGAGATTTTGTTGTAGTTCATTTTTAGTATAGACATTTTGCAAAATAACTTTTATTTTGTTGCTTCTTAGACAGCCAATGGTGAACCATCTACATTTCTAATAAAAATCATACCTTCAAATCATACCTCCAAGTGCTAGTACTCTACTTAAAATGCACTAGAAAGGAAAAATGCTTTTTAAAATTCCTAATAAATCCATAACTGACCATTCCTCTGTTTTAAGGATTTAAATTAATTAAGGATAGTGGCACCAAACTTTCTGCATGCTCTGGAGAAGTAAATGTAGGCATGTTTTCATGTAAAGCTGTTCAGATAATCTCTTCTTCAGCAGTTCCAACTAATGCAGGACTTTTTGTTCTTTTCCTTCGTCCCATCAAATACATGTTATTTTATATATATTTATGCATAATATACACACACATATTTAATGGAATATGTACCTAAATATATAAAAAATTACACTTATCTGTAGCTATATCCCTTTCTCTAGTTATGAAGACTTTTGCACTATAATTTAGGACACAAGAGCTTTGCTCTTTTTCAAGTTGTTTAAGGTTTCAACGTCCTTAACAACTTGAACCTCAAGGGCTGAAAATCCAAAAAACCCAGAATTAATGTTGCAAAGCTGTCTGGTAGCTGACAACAGAGCAATACATTGGACCAGTGCAAAACCCAGCTAGAGAGGTCTTGGAGAGTCGTTGGTGTGGATGTCTTCAAGCAAAACAACGATCATGCTCCTTTCCACTGGGCATCCATCTGAAATGCTGGCATGTCCTTGACAGTGCCATGACTCTTCCTTCTGCAGTAGGCTGTTCAGGTCAATATGCATTGTGTGAGTGTTTGGGTAGCTAGTGAAAATGAAGGCACTCGAGGGGCTTGGGTATCTTCAGGAATAAGAAACCAGGCCTTACTTGCTGCCCAGGAGAGCACAGCTGATTGTTTTGCATACTGGGATGTATAAAACTATAAAAGAGTACTTAGTCTTTACATTTTGACGTGAGTCAATTGTCGGACCCTTTGGGGCCTCATTTTGGTAAATGGCAGATGCATGAGTGGTGTGAGTTACACCTATGATGTAGACACATTAACTGAGACTCTCTTAGGAACAACAAAGAAAAGTTGCTGTTTTGGATTGAAAATCACCTATTTCTCTCCAAAGACAGATTTAGGACAGTGACTCTTCTTAGACCTTTTGTGAGCAACTGGAGCCAGTGACAATCCCTGACACCTTAAAAATAACATTACTTTGTTGAAAAAATTTTACTCAGATGTTTATTTTGTATGTGAAGCTTTGAGAAACCTCCTGTTGTCATGATGAGAGGTCACTTTTTTGTTTTGGAATATAATTTTCTCTACCATTTACAGGGGAAAGGTTTGACTGCTCACTGTGTACTACTTTTGTTTCAGTTGGTTGCTGGTTTTTGAGCTCTTTTTCAATTCCTCTTTTGGAAAAGTTTCATGATAAATTGAATTTACTCAAAGATTGTTTAAAAATGGTTTAGGCTTGCACTCATAAGACTCTGAATTTTTTCAGCAATAACAAAAACATTCTAATTACCAGGGCCTTAAAATTACATTATTTGCAGTCTCTACAGCTTTTTTGCTCACACATTCAGCTGTGTAGAGGGAGAATCTGACATGTGGTGCCTGAATGACAAACCAGCCACATGTGAGTTATACAGCATTATCTTTTACTATCTCATCTGAAGTCACAGAACTTGCAAAATGTGATTTACAATGTGTTACTGAATTCTTACTCACAGGGCTTGAATAAGATCTTGATTAAAAACAAAAGAAAACTAAACTAAAAAATGCAACAAAAAACAGCAAGAGGAGGTTTTCTTGCCATCTTAATTCAAATAAATCAGCACCAAACGTGGTATACGAGGAGTCGTGAATCTCATGTGAATTAAAAGGGCTTTTTGTATTCTGTTTTCCACATTTACAACACATGACACAGACGCTTCTCCCAACTGTTATATTTCCAGCTAAATGCTTTCTGTTCTCTTCCT